ACCGACAATGCTCGGGTGCATTTGTCCCCTGGTTTCATCATACCCAACACGTGTCTGAGTTATCTTTTTCTGCAGGAGAGCAATTGCGAGCTGCACTGAAGGAAGGTAAGGAGACTTTCTAAAACGCTATCCTGTTGTGAGTCCTTCCTTGGCTCTACATGAATCAGAGCAGGAGCTTCTGCCTTTCTAGCTGGACGCTGACTAACAAGTCCCCAGGTTCACCTCTTTTCCAAGAGGCAGGATAAGGGACAGGGACATACTAAAGAGGATCCAGTCAAGGAATCCAGTCAAGGATCCAGTCAAGGAAAAACAAGGCAGGCTGCTTTTTGCATTAATTAATGCATGCTATGTCCTTCCTCTGCCCCTGGAATATACACGAGTTTGTTTAAGTCTTTCCCCGACACCTGCAGAGTGGACACATCTATAATGAAATGAGATGCAAAGAGAACTAAGTAAAGTTGATTATTTTAATTAATTAAATTAAATTAATTAATTAAAGTTGATTATTTTTTCTGACATTTAAGTACAACATATGGCAAGTTTTAGTGAGGTTATATTAATAGACACTGTGACACAGGCGATTGTAATATTCTAGGTTGGTCAATACATTAGAAAGAAGGTCAGGTTTATCTGGCTTTAGCCAGAGTACACAGTAGATCACAGAGTTTGTTGTGATTTTCTCTCATAGTTTTCAAAGCTTTTGCCACTCTGCCAGGATCAAAACAATGATTTTTGAGAGTGAGAGAAAATGGAGAATTTTACCAAGTCTTCAGTTCATGCTCAGGGCACATTATGGTTCATATAACTTTAAAAAAAATCTAAAAAATACAATTTTCTTTTGGATTATTTTCTGCATTACAGTAGAGGCAACGAAGCATAATTTGGGAAAGGAACTGTGTCTGATCTGGAGGCTGGCAGTTCATGTTCCTTTTTAAACTAGTCAGGCTGCATTCCAGCTGGTCTGAATGAGCCCCCCCACTGCAAGGATAATATCCTTGAAACTTAGTCGAAAAATTTGTGTCTAGGAAGGAAGCCTAAGGATGAGGATGAACTTATTCCAGTTCCTCTTGACTTCTAAGGGTTTTCTCATTTTGAAAAAAGTGTTCTTGCACCAGCATCATCTCTTTTCTCCTCTCAATCCCCTCAAATTGTCTTGTCCCTGTGGATGTTGTCAAACCTTCCCTCATAAAATAGACATCTTGCCATCAACACCGCCCAGGTCTGGTGGAGGTTTGCTCCATACTCACAGCTTACAACAGAGACCGGCTTTGTGCTTTTCAGACATAGAACAAAGGGCACAAATAGGTCCTGCCTGGTGGTTATACCGCTAATAAATAACCATGATTAATAACTGAGATGTACCAACACAACCAATGGAGAGACCAAGTCAGCATCCCAAGAGATAGTGTAGGGTTCGCAGGCTGGACAGAGGACCTCGGTGTTTGACAGTGTCTGATCTGCACACCAGGAACAATCGTGTGGCCAGATTCTGACTGCTCCCCAAGACCTGCGGTTCTCAGGCAAATCACTGCACGTTGGGAGTCCGCAGCATCTTTTGAAAATCCATTTGCTTGTGTGAAGACTTTAGCTAGGTGCCAAAATGGGACTTGATGCTTAGCTTTTGGCAGCCCATGTGCAAAATGGTGGTCTTTGTAAATGCATTGGTGAAGAGAGACACCAGTGAGAGCCTTGTGGGAGTCCCTTATTTTTCCAAAAAACTCCTTGGCTTCACATTTAATAATTTTAGCTTCAAGAGAAGGTGTTTCAAATGAGAGAAAAATTGATTTGTTCATATAAACTAGAGTCCTGAGCACTTTGGGAAAAAATGTAACCATTTCATGTTAATGACCGAGCTGGAGTTGCTCGTTTATGCAGATCTAGAGCTGCATATGGGTGCAATCAGATGCAGTAGTCTCTGCAGCAGCAATTTCTAGATGTGATGGCAGAATTGAATAGCTGTGACATTACTGGCTTGGAAACCTGAAACTCTGCAAATTTGATACCATTTTGTACGTGTCTATTATCACTTCTGCTGATACTCAGTTTTGTCTATAGGTGGCAGTGACCTTTCATTTTTTCTCTAAAATAGGGCAGAAGCATACCTACATATATATCTTCCTAATTTTACTAGAGGATCTTGGCCAGGACTGTGAGGCTGTGCCACTGACTGAGCTCTGCACCCAGAGGAATAGCCGCAGACTTGTCACCTTCCTTCAGTAGCCACTTTGCCCCAGAGCATGCCACATGTGTAGTTGTAATACTGCTCACGCAATACAAAAATTGGTGCAATACAATAACCGATTAGTGTTGCAAGGAGGGAAAAAGTCTGAAGACTTATTATGTATGTGCATAGAGGAGAACTTCATTTGGTGTTTTGAGACCATATTCCCAAGAGGGTTATGTAGCAGGTTTGTCCCATTTCTAGTAAAAATAGCCTCCAAGTCTTGTCCAGCTTTCTACGAGAGTGTTCTGGTGAGTAGAAATCTTTAAATATTCCACATGACCACTGTGTGTGTTTTATTTCAGTGAGAATTATAAACTTGATTGTAGAGAATGGGTAATCCCTCCTAGAGCAAAATATGCCAGAGATCAGAATCCGTGATCTCTGCTCTGTATCAGTTAAAGATAACTTACCTGACGTGAGAAGAACTGCATCAACAGAAACCTGGAGTAATTGAGAATCAGGCTACAAATCATTGTTAAAATAAAAATTAAAAAAAAAAAAAAAAAGGAATTTGCTTCTCTCACTCCCCACAGATATGTACTGATTTTACAGCACATGTGAAAAAGGAAGCACATAACCTGCAAATATTCCATCCTCTGCTTAAGTTGTCTCCTGGCATAAAACAGGCAGCCTTGTGAATGGAAAACAAAAGTAAATCCTCCAGATTCAACCAGATACTAAATTTACCATCGAGACTAAGCAGTAGGATTTGAATCTTGTTTTCTTCTCTTCCGC